GGAACCGGGAACTTTGTACGCTCACATAGTGGGCTTTGCTAAACTTGTGTCAAGTTGATTCTTTCATATTAAAAATCTGTCTTAGGATAATGGAGACGGGTGCAGCCACTATAGCCAACTAATACCTACATTTCGTACATTTTCCCGTTTTTCACATTTTATGAAAAAACTCTTGAGAAAATCGAAAAATGACCTTTCTAAAGTAACTTCCCTGTCAGAGTTCCTTTCAGAAATAGTGTTGTTGTTGTTAATAGGAGTAAAGTTTCTAGTGGAAAAATAGCGTGCAGATAAAAAAAAAAAAAAATATCGTTGTAAGACCATAAGCTTCTTCGTTCCACTCAGAATCTAAAATATTGATTTTAAACCTTCACTAATATTCTTGAACTTATTTGGAACTATTTGGAATTTAGTTTTCCGAATTGATAACTTTATATTTTTTCGGGAAAAAAGTTTTGTATTAGGGGAAGCTAACTTCAAACAGCCTCCACACTTAAGCCTATCTCTAACTCAAACCTTCACCGATATTTTAAAACTTGATTTTATTATACTACTAAAACTATTAAAGTATCTATATTAATTTCTGTATTATAGGTACCTATATATCAATACAAATAAAGTGTTTATTTGTTTGTTAGTGCAGGATCCACAACCGAATCTATGGCACGTAAAGGTCTGAAAATGTCCATGCGGTAGAAAGTAAACGGATCCGTTTGCACCGGGATACACCTTGAAGCCGGATTTTCGAAATTCAACTTCTAAAGTAAAACTGCAACGGAATTTTTGGTATTTTAGGAACGAAAATCGAATTTATTTTGTTGATTTATGGGTTATCTTGCAGGTGATACGCTGACAAGAATGGCGCGTGAAACACGGGAAAACAAGTTTTTTAATTTCGAGTTCTTATATCACGAAGAAGTTATTATAATTTAACAAAAATATGTTTTTATTACTCGGGCACGTTTACGATCGGTAAAAATGATCCAATTTGTTCACACAATACTTCAAAAGATGCGAAATTTTCAGTTGATTTCCGTGTTACCTTGGCAACAAGGAAAAAAACGGCTATAGTTCATATATATTTCACGTTTTTTTCAAAACGGTACCCGTTGTACAAATACGACAATCTCCCAAACGGCTCCCGTTTTTGAGATCACAAATTTCTTCCCACTTCATAAAGACTTATAGATTTTTTTTTATACATTTCACTTGGACATTTGTACAATATTGTTATTATATTTTAATAAAATTTAACCGTTTAAATGTTATTAGTGTTATTTCCAATATTATTGTTATCGACTGATGTAGACCTAGAATATAAGCACTTATTGAAAGCATCTATTAAGGGGGATTAAATAAAATTATTAACGAAATTCGATTGGCAATAACGCGTGAAACGTGAACACCAAACTCCAAACCTGCATTTAATAATTGTATTTTAAGAGGAAGCCACACCGACATATCTACTGTCTCCGTCTTACAAACGTGAGACATGGAAAATTGGCGTTCAATAGGACACACTTTGTGCCGTTAGTTTTAGTATAAAATCAAATTAACTTATTACCGAACGTATAAAGGTAAAACGATTATAAATGCCCCAGTGTTGATATTTTTTCGGTATTTTAATTTTTAAGCAAAACATAATCATTTTTAAATTGCGATATTTAACATACTCGTGTCTCATTTAAAAATAAAAAATATCGAACAATTATCAACGCTAGAGCACATATTATAATAAATTAAAATAGATAATCTTCTTATCTTTAATTTTGGTAATTGGCCGATTTGCTTTATATTAAAACTAACGGCACAAAATGCGTCCTACTGAATGCAAATTTGCTTTGTCTCGCGTTTGTAAGACGCGTTGTACAGTAGACGTCAGTGTGGCGTCCTCTTAATAGAGTCAATGGAACTTATTATCGCAAAAACACGACACAATGACCGTTTTAAGCGACACATCGCGCAGCATTAAACGCGGCCACCGACGGTACAAAATATTTTCTCGAAAAAAAAGCGTAATACATATAGGTACTTATCATTTCGTATTAAATTATATCCGTTATAATTTCACGGCCACCTTTTTAGTTGGAAACCGAAAATTAATGGACAGGAACCGTTATTGGGTCGCACTGAAAAAAACACAACTATATTATACTATTCCACTCAGAGTCGTATTTTCGTTTACAACGATTTATCGTTTGTGTTCATTATATTATTATAAAAAAAATTATTCTATCGTACCTTCCGAATCACCGACTACCTACAGCAGTGAGACCTGCTCACAGTGAGAAGTGAATCCGATCTTTTTCGTATAATACTGCGCGGCTGCACAGCTATATAATATAAAAGCTTTATTTATAATAAAAGGAAACGTTTCTTTTTATTAAAACGAGTATAGGAGAAAAAAAGAGGGCTAGTTATTAGCTGCAACGTACAATACTATATTGATGCACGTAAAAGAATTATATAAAAAAAAAAAAAAAATAGTAATATTGAATTCGTCTCCTGTACAATAAATGTCCCGGATCCGTTACCGTTTGGTCTCCCGCCGTCGACGACCCTCGGCGGACGCTCTCTACGACGTACGGTTCGGTATTGTATTATTCGAATATCTTCTCTACATAGACGACACGCTCTACCACGTCATAATTTAACGTATAAAATATAATTATATATTTTACATTTTGAGCGCAACGAGGAACGTTTTACTTTGATGTGTGCTACTTTTTTTTTTTTCTTTGGTGTCCGTGAATAACTTTTCTACCAGAAAACTCGTTCCGATCGAAAAACGCGGAATTTTGGATCTAGACGGGGCCGAGGAAAAGGTTATTTTTTTATAAATTTTCTATACGGTTTTCTTAATAATCGGGAAAAAAATCCATATACGACAAACACGGACAAGTTTACATCGATAATGATTGATCCGTTTTTATCGATTTTTTTTTTTTCGTTGCAATCCGGTTTGAAAAAAAATATTCACAAAACACTTATATTGGACTTGTCTAGACGTGGTTGAATTTTCAATACATTCTGACAATTTTAGAGTTTTTCATAAAGGTGTTTCGTCGGAGATAATTTTTTATTGTTCGCGTGTGAACCGATATAAACGAAATAGCTTACTATAGGGAAGACCGGGTACGATTATAACACAGGACAAAATTATTGTCGCTGTTCGAAGTACAACAATTGTAAAAATTAGTTTTTTTTTAATTCCTCATTTATTCAAAAATTCGGAAAATTCAGTTATTAATACTTACACGGTTATAAAGGTGTTAAATTATTTTGATGACTAAAAGTGAAACCAAATAAAAATATTTTAAACTCTCACAGATATAAATAACTGTATGGAAAATATTACAATCACACCCAGGGGGCCTATTCTCAAAGCAATCGAAAACAGTTGTCGAAAATATTTATTCAATTGTTAATTTTCGATCAAAAAAAATTGATTCGATCGTTGTTTTTCGATTCAATACAACGCTAAAAAGCTATTCGAATATTTCCAGAAGCCGTGATTTTCGATGATTGAAATTGTATCACCTAATTACTAATTATTCCGTTGATACCGCCGATAACAATTGTTTACAGATTTTTGGAGAGTTATAATAGTTCGTTTTTTTTTTTTTTTAATTTGTGTAAGTTCTTTTATAAATTACGAATCGCCAATAAAAGGATCCTCTTGCACCAGGTATCTTCTCTCGTTCACACACCTATTATATTCTAACCGTAAATTATTGTTGCCAAAATGACCTAGCGTATCTACACCGTCGCCCCCGTCCACCATTATCATATATACGTAACTCGTAAATTACAAATAGGTACTTGAGGGGAGGCGGGAACAATAATAAATAAAATAATAAAGCCGTTTCGCTTTAAGTCTTATCACAGTTTAAATAAAACTCGACTGAGTTTTGACAGAAGAAGTAAAATATCGTACACGCAATAACAATCGAAACGACAAGTCGGGAACACTTCGAGAGTGCACGTTTTGGTGAAAATCGATAATCAATGTTACACTTTCGACGAAAACGTTTTCGGTTGCTTTGAGAATATAGCTCCCTCCCCTCCGGTTTCCCCCTACTCTATAATACCATGCGTATCCTGCCGCGCTATACCTTCGTAATGAACGTCCACCGATATACAGCGCCGTTTGTATTTATTTATTTTTCGTTCGGGTGTAGTCTGCAGTGATCGTGTTATCATTATTGAAGGCCGGATATTATAATATTGTAGGTTAATCGTTATTTTATTGTTTGTAGATTACTCTCGTGTTAATACCAGTCAGTACAGGAGCCGTACGAATGTAAAAAAAAAAAAAAAAAAAAAACCCAACCGTACAATATCAAACGTCACGAATTAACCGTCGAGCGGTGTAATCGCGGTTTCTGCGGAAAGCTAATGCAATAATTATTATACATGTAAAAAAAAAAATAAAAAAATAACGATAATATTATAATACAAGCGAACGCGTATTATTATTATAATAATGCGGCTATTTAATTACTATAATGTTTTTACCATTATAATAATTGAAGACCTTGACGATGCACAATGACGACCGCAACATGTATCAACATGTATTAGATAAGTCGGCATTTTAGCCGTTGAGAATTTCATTTTTTGACGACGTCGGCATAATTAAAAAAAAAAAAAAAAAAAATGCTCGATATAATATTATTTCAGTCGGACGGATCCGAGTGCATTGAAAGGGGAATTATTATTATTATTTTTTTTGTTATCGCTTCTGAACACTTTCAAAAAGGTTGTGTCACTTCAAAGGTTCGCGTGTCTTCGGTATCAATACCTTCCGCGCGTGCACCACCGTTCGTTCGCGAGACCTTTTAACCATTTCCATATTATTCACCAAATTTTTTTTTTTTTTTTTATGTTTGCCTATTCGCTAAATACCTAAAATGACCTTTTTTAAGGTCACGTTGAGTTAAGGCGAGTTGAACGTCAGCGTCGACGCGATGTTTAAAAACGAAAAAAAAAGTCGGTTTAGGTTTTTTTTTTATCCATCGAAAAAGCCTTTATTAAAAATATTTCTGCACATCGTTATAATGCCGTATATTATATCATTATACATATTAACACGTAACAATATAATAATTATCAATTATGATTACAGTAATATATATAATATATTTTAATACATAGATTAGAATTGTTTTCTTCTTATATACACAGTCGATCCTTAAACGTTATTAATAATTGGCCTCAGTTAAATGTTTTGATTTTGTACTGCGTAAAAAAATACATATATAATATAATAAAATGAAAAAAAAAATAAACTTAATATATAATATAATTATAATACGTGACAACTTGTCAAGTTGTTTTTTTTTTTTTTTTTTTTTTTTTTTTTTTAAACTGATGCGTTATAATAATTCATAAACATATTATGTATAGGTAAATATTATTATTTATAATATAATATTTAAA